ACCTAACCAAAACGATTTTAGGTAAAATCTCGATTTTAACAACCTTGATTATTTGCACTTACTGGCCAAATTACCAATCCAAATTTAAAATGAAAAAAATATGAACAAAAAAAAAAAAGTATAAGAGATGATAACCTCATCTCCAACACCACTAGCCCCTATTATTATCTGATCGCTCCGTTTGGAAACCTCCTTCCCTCCCTCAAGCTCCATCCATGGAGGTTTTCTCATTTCTATGTTTACTCTTCTTATTTCTCCTTTCCCTGATTCTCTACCACCACCGTTCCACTTCAAACCGTAAAACCCACGGCCACCATAAAGGCTTCAAAACCTACCCTCTAATCGGTTTGTTGCTGGAATTCTTGAGAAATCGGAACCGGTTTCTCGACTGGACAACCCAAGTCCTTGGCGATTGCCCCACAAACACCTCCGCGTTTCACCGTCCTGGGAATATCCGCGGCGTCATTACGGCCAACCCGGCCAACGTCGAGCACGTCCTCAAGACCAACTTTGAGAGCTACCCGAAAGGCGAACAGTTCATCGTGCGCCTCCAGGATTTCCTTGGCAAAGGAATCTTCAATTCCGACGGTGAGCTATGGAAGTTACAGAGGAAGACAGCAAGCTATGAATTCAACACAAAATCGCTCCGAATCTTCATCATGGAAAACGTCAGGGTCGAGCTTTATACGAGGTTGATTCCGATGTTGACAGAAGCCGTACAATCCCACCGGATTCTTGACTTACAAGACATACTCGAGCGATTTTCGTTTGATAATATCTGCAAATTAGCTTTCAATTTCGACCCTGGTTGTCTCGGCGGTACCAGAAAAACTGGCACGGAGTTCATGAGGGCGTTTGAGAATGCCGCCACACTCAGCGCCGGCCGATTCCTGTATGCTGTCCCTTTCCTCTGGAGGGTGAAGAAGGCTCTGAATATAGGGTCGGAAGCAACTCTGAGGAAATCGATTTCAATTGTCCACGAATTCGCAGACACTATTATAAGAAACAGATTGGAATCAGGGGCAGATAACAATGAAGATGACTTGTTATCACGGTTCATCGGAAAAGATGAAAATTCAGCGGAGTTTCTCCGAGATATCGTCATAAGTTTCATTCTTGCCGGACGAGACTCGACATCCTCTGCTTTGTCCTGGTTCTTTTGGTTACTCTGTTTCAATCCCAAAGTGGAACAGAACATACTTAAGGAGCTCAAGGAAATTCGGAGTCGAAATAGGAAAACAATCGGAGATTCCTACAGCGTGGAGGAGCTCCGCGACATGAACTATCTCCATGCAGCGATTTCCGAAGCCATGAGACTATACCCGCCAGTACCAGTCGACACAAAAGCATGCCTGAATGATGACGTTCTTCCCGACGGAACTTTCATCAGAAAAGGGTGGTTCGTGACTTATCATACGTATGCAATGGGGCGGATGCCGAACATTTGGGGTGAAGATTGCTATGAATTTCGTCCGGAAAGGTGGCTGGACGAGAAGGGAATTGTGAAGCAAGAGAGCCCATTTCGGTATCCAGTGTTCCATGCGGGGCCGAGAATGTGTCTGGGGAAGGATATGGCGTATATTCAGATGAAGTCTATAGCCGCAGCCGTGATGGAGAGGTTCTCGGTGGAGGTGCTGGAAAAGGAGAAGAGCGGGGGGCATCTTTTGTCTCTAACTCTGAGGATGAAAGGCGGATTACCGGTGAAGGTAAGGGAGAGAATATTATTGGACTAAGTCTGATTTGATAATGGTAGATTCTACATGTCATCATAATAAATAAGAGATTAATGGTTCATCGATATAGATTGCACAATAAAAATAGAATTTAATATTTAAATTATCAAAATAACGTTAATGAACATATATAAAAAATAATTTTATTAATTTTATTTTAATAATTTTAGTACTTAAATTATATTATCTTTGGGCAATCTATAGTGAATAAACATTTCTATGGTAATAATACATTGTATTTAAATTGTTCTTAGTACTGTACTTTTCTTTCCGTCTTTATCATTGTATTATATATGTCTATCTCAATTTCAAATTCACCGATGGTTTGTTGGTTTCACAAACTCAATTTTGTTAGATCTTTTTCTTAGGGCGTGTCTTTATTATTTCTTTTTCTTTTTTTTTTTAATATGGAGGATTTAAGGAATAAGAAATATTTTTCAAGTCGTTGGTGAAAGTCAAACTTCTAACTAATTACATTTAAGTACGTAAAGCTTGGAGACGAATTATTAAACCTGAAAGGTTAATTCTAAAACATGTCTTTATTTACTCTCTAGTAAATACTAAAAAATAATAAAAATAGTGTTATATAATTTAAATTATATTAAATTATATAATTTAAATTATATTAAATTATATAATTTAAATTATATTAAATTATATAATATAAATTATTAAATAAAATATAAACGTTCAATATTAGAAATTATTTTTCATTAAATAGTATCTATTTTGTTTTATAATTTAGTGTAACTGAGACTCTAAATTAAGAATTTAAAAAATAAAGGGTCAAACAATTGATTCAATTAAAAAGGGTGGGCCTAGTTTATATTCATTCACAAAAGGAGATGGTTAAAATACCAATTTGGTTCCTCAACTTTTAAATTTGTTTTAAAATTATCTCAAAAATATTAAAATTATCTCTAAAATTTAATTTTTGGTACAAAAAAATCCTCAAAGTTTGAAGATAATACGAATTTAGTCTTAAACTTTGAAGATAAATACCAGCTTAATTCTTAAATTTTAATTTCAAATACCAACTTGATTTTTTTATTTTAATTATATATCAATCTGATATATAAATAAAAATACATCACGATGGCAAAATATGATTATTTAATTATATACAGCATTCGTAATTGAAAAAAAAACTGATTTTGTGACAAAATAACAAATTACATAGCATCTTTGTTAATGGAAGGACTTTTTTTAATATTAAAAACTAAAATTTAGGGATAATTTTGATATTTTTTAAAGTTGAAGAATAATTTTAATATAAATTTGAAAGTTGAGAGGCCAAATTGGTATCTTAACCAAAAGAGATTTGCATCCCCCAATTAATTTCCTCTTTAGCCTTTATTTTTTTGGTTAAATGTCATTTTTTTGTCACTAAACTTTTTTTTAAAACATTTTTAGTCCCTAAATTATTTTTCCTTAAAAAATGTACTTTTTTTTTAGTATTTTTGTTGGTTAATCTATTAAATTTGTTCATTTATACATAACTTTTGTTTTTGAATTTATATATTAAAGATCTAAAAATATACATATATTATAAATTCAAAGACAAAATCTGCATATATAAATAGGCTAACTAATTAAATGACTAAAAAACTACATTTTTTTTTTTGTTAAATTTAGAAATAAAAAAATACAAGAATAATTCAAAGACTAAAACTATTCAAAATTGAAAGTTCAATAAATAAAAATGGCATTTAACCTTGTTTTTTCTGTAGCTATCATCCACCCAGTGTAATCATTTCCCAGTTCAGCCATCCTAATTAGGGATGGTCATTGGTCAGTTTGGTTGACATTGAAACCGAAACTTCAGTAAACCGACATTTGGGTTTTTTTATTTTATCCATCGATCATGCACCGGAGTAAAGATTAACAATTTGGTTCGATGTGCTTTGGTTTCGGTTTTCACTAAAACAAGCATTGGCCACCATGGGGGAAGACTTGGTGATTCAGAATGAAGAGAAAAGGAAAACAACAGTGACGGCAGCAGCGACGGGGGAATTAACAACCACTGATCTAATGATTTCTCTTTTCTAGATCTGGAGAAAGAAAAGAATTACAAGAAATGAAAGAGGAAATTTTGAGAAAAAGGGAAAGAAAAGGTTTGCACCACTTAGTGATGAGAAGGGAGAGTTAAAAGAAAGAAAGGATTTTAGCGAGATCAATGAGATGGAGGCAAGGATGGAAGAGGAGAAACGGCTGTGTAGGCATGAAATAAAAGGGGAAGAACCAAATAACTTTTAGGTTTCGTTTAGATGATTTAATGGTGTTGAATAAATTTAATAAATGGATCTAATGGTTAAAATAAAACTAAATAAAATTCATATAAGAAATTAAAAAAATCAAAAAAGAGTATTTTATGGAGCAGATCTTAT